GTGTGTCATGACTTACATTTATGCATCACCCCTTAGTTTGAATTTTATTGTCTTGCATCAAAAAATATTTGTAATTCTACCTTCTGTAAGGTGCACTAAAGTTGGCTTATTGATATTAAGATAATGTCAAAGGTAGTAGTGTTTGGTTTTCAGAAAAAGCTTGTAAAAGGTGATTACTATGCATTCTGCCACTGTTATCTAACTACATTAGACTCAGTTCACCCTGAATAACAAACATGTTTGGAGCCCATTGCAGTCACCTTGTTAACCCACTGATGTCATGGCATTGGTGGTGGTACTACTTGCTACTGTTTCAATAAGTTCAGAGGATTTTAAATAAACAATAATTCCCATTTAAATATGATAATTCTGGGATCTTTATACAGGTTTTAGGTTTTCTGGCATCTGACGACTCTGATAGCTAGGGTGTGAGTAAATATTAGAGCCCACAGAGCTGGGAATTTGAAAGAGGGCATATGAGTGAATATAACAGATTGAAAAAATTGTCATCTGTTATCTTAACAGCTAAAATTACCATGCAATACTGTACAGAGTCATGTTTAGCAGCATGTTTGTCTTGCAGTGGATTTAAAGTTCTTAGTTATTTAAGGGCAACAGGTTTCGATTAGAATGTGAGTGAAGAGCATATAATGGCGTTTTTACAGTTTTGAAAAAAATATAAAGGCCACAATGACCTTTAAAAAGGTTTTTGTGACCCAAATTTGGATTTGTCAATACTTGAAAGATACTGATAGGACATGCTTTATCTCCTTTTTTCAGCCATACAAGCTATCTTGTAAAGTTGCCCAACGGCCTTTCAAACATTACATAATGCACCCCCCAAATGCATTTAGGAAGAAAGAGAGGAAGACTTGATTGGTGGTACTTTGGTCTTGGAGGTGGGGTTTTAAACTCAAATCTTATCACTTATAAATGTGGCAGCACACATAAGTGGTGCACTTGGGGAGTATCCACATTGAACTGCAGTGAAACCATGGCAAAGCGTTGGAGTGCCAACTCTTTGGTGGTACAAGTACTGCTAATCTGCTTAGTTGGGACAAATGTAGAGGTTCTGGGCCAGCAGGCAAAGGGTGCTCTATCTTCACAGCCAACCTCAACTAATTACGCACCAAATGTCCAACCAGGTGGATGGCCAAGCTTTCCTCAA